CAGCCAGCCATGCTGGCTAGGGAATTCTGGGAGTTGAAGTCCACTCATCTTAAAGTGGGCAAGTTTGGACAATACTGTTATAGACTGTCAATTTCTGATTACCAACAAGCTGTGGGGAGCCAGCATAATACAAACCCAGAGCAGCCTTCCACAAGTCAATGCTCTTCAGATGTGCTGGACTCCCAGAATTCTCAGAAGCAGCCACAACATCTGGAGGATACAGGTAGGGGAAACCTGGGGTTAGCACATCAAAGTAGGATAAGGTAACTGTAATGGTATGTGGGAATGACCTTGGGAAACAGGAGGAAGATCCGCAGACTAGGCAATGGTCAGAAAAGAGGCAGCTGAGCCTGCAGAAGGAATGGCAAACGTCTCAGAAGGGACCCTGCCTAGTTTCTTGGACTGTAAAGGCAAGGGGGGAAAGGCTTACAAGATTCTGTTAATGTAACCTTACAATAAAGTTAGAGCTAGTACTTCTGGATGTGCTTCTTGTCTGGACTACCTCGCAAGGCTGACAGTAAGCCACATTCAAATCACTTCTCAGTCATGAAACTCTCATTAATGGCCTACGGATCTATTGTTCACCCTTGCAATTTGTGAATATAAAACAGAAGATGAGTAGGAGAACAACTATACTTACCTTGAGCTCTCTGGTAGAAAAGAGAGAGAAGAGTAATCAGTGTAAATGGATAGGTTTACCACAGATCCTGGGCACCACCTTCATCCACAACACTTACCTGCGGTTTGGATACATTCTTCTTGAGTTTGTTGAGCGTCTTGCGGTTATAAGGTTCACCACCTGGGCGCAACTTAACTGTGGTATCGCATGTTTCGGCATGGAGTTGGGGGAACATATGGAGTGCCTCCTGGATGGGAAAGAAAGTAAATGTGTGAGAAGCATAACCTCTGCCTGTCAGGGTCAATTGATTCCACTTTCTATTGTTAAAAAGATTCCAAGATGTTAGGGACTGGACAAATCAGATATTTAAATATATATTAAAATGGAGGCATCCTCAAATAGTAGAGTTAGGTATAGCCTCTGAAAAGACTTCAGAGACAAAACATTAGAGGCAGGAGGTGGTTCAGGGAAAGGGAGAACTACCCTCTATATAAGTAGGACCAGGAGACTTCTTTCCTTGAAACAGACAAGAGCATCACTACTGAACAGGATGCTCATTGACTAGAAAAATCTAACTACAGCCTATTCAAGCAGACCCCAATAGCACAAGGTCCTGAAATCAGGTGATCCTAAAGAACCAGTTCCATGCCCTTGGTCCAACATGCACTGCAAATCCAGAGCCCGGCAACATGACATCAAATAAACCTCAGTTTTTCCTCTGTATTTGAAGATTTTATTTTTTCATGTTTCACAAACTGTTTTTAAGCAGGATGGGGAGAAATGGCTTTTCTTAGCCAGCTCAGGGCAGGATGCCTGATGTTAAAATACAGAAAAATGGCCCTTTAATCTGACTTGTCTGATCATTCCAACAAGACATACAGGTAGTTCTTATTCAGTGACCACAACTGAGACCAGCAACTTGGCCATTAAGCAAAGCGGTTGCTAAATGAAACCGCGACTGTGCTTATGATATTACTTCAGCTTTCCTTTGTTTTACAGACTTGCGAAGGTTGTAAATGCAATGATTGGTTATAGTTATTTTTTCATCACTGTCATAACTGTAAACGGTCACTAAATGAAGCAGTTGCTAAGTAAGGACTACCTGTATAAATCCCCCTAAGATACATGCAAAGTTAAAGCCGACTTTCACAGCAGATTGCCAACACAGAAAAAAAAAAAAGGAATAATCAAGCTCTCCTGTTTATGCAGTAGGAGCCCTTCAGTCTGTGGTGAAAATTTTGCAAAATTCTCTGGGGTTAAGAGTACAGTATAAGGAAAAATGATTAAAGAAGAGGCCAGCAAAGTAGTACTTCTGAGATACTTCTAAATGCCTCCCATAGATCTTCAAAATAAAATTAAAAAACCCTAACCATGGCTAAAACTCATGAGACAAATTTCAGTGTTCTTGACTGAGATTTTGTGAGGCCTCAGGGATAGGGTCATTGAAACCTTGTGCAACGCAGGGATCAAGTGAGATTTCACCCATTTTTTTTTTTAAATGTCAATTTAAATTTTTGGAATTTCTGCCACCATATACAGTATGATTGACATAATATCAACCCCACCTGAAAAAGCTGCCGACTCATGAATTGAAGGGTGACACTTCAGAGCCATTTACTAGCAAGATACACGGATAGAGGAACTGAAACATCCAAGGCAGCATGAAGTCTCATGTTAAGTGTGCATTTCATATTTATATATAGAACAGGATTTAAAGGTCCATCTGGGCTGCTAGTAAAAAGCTTGGATCCTTAACCTATCTAAACTATGTTGTGTTACAAACCTTTTGGCCTTCAGGGCCTCCCCCTGCTCCCCCATTGTTGTTGTGAAGGTGAATGAGAAGAAAACACTTGAGCCAAATCTTGGCAACAAAGCAAAGCCTAGAATAAATACCCTTTTCCAAAAATCAGTCTCTGGGGGAATAGCAGATTCTACTTGCCCTCTTTCCGTACCTGTAGCGACGGATTCAGGGACACTCTCTTCAGCACCTTTTTCTTATGATCGTTCAAAATCCCATCAATTTTCCTCATGGGCGGGAGATACAGTTCATCTGGGATAGGATTGTCAAAACAGATGGCAAAGGTCACCAAAAAAAGCATCCAGGATGGGCAGGGACAGGAAACCTGCAATGCAGGACATGGGCAGCCAGTGTCCTGCACTAAGGAAACCCGGCTGCAGTGGTCTGAGTTCTAGACAAGCAAGCGAAAGGAACATAACAAGGTTTCAAATGCCACATTTCTATTCTGAAGAGGCTGGAATTTTTAGGCAGGACCAGATTTTTCAAAATGCTACATGTTATGAATAAACGCTTGCTTAAGCACCACTCTACCCCAGGTGTTCTCAAACTGTGGATCCCCTAAGGAAATAATTTAGAGGAGGAGCATTTTTGTGGGGGGGGGGAGTTGATCAGGCTTGGGCAGGCAAAACTGAAGCACTGTCAAAGCTCACTCCTGCTTTGCCCAGAGAAGTCTACAGCAAGTTTGCATATGCAAAGCAAGGAACAAAACCCAGAGAGCATTCTAAACAATGGTTAAACCCATGGGTCTTGACATCTGTCAAAAACATCTGCCAATTACAATTAGAGTTTTATTTATTATTTAGCTTTAGCCACAATTTCATTTATCATTTTAAAGGGCTGCGGGACTGCAAAGTTTGAGAACCCCTCCTCCAACCAGCCCTTCATATCTTTGCCTAATACAAATGAATGCTACAAAGGAGTATACTGAAACATTCAGTGGTGTTCTCTACTAACAAGAGATCAAAGCTGTGGGATTTATACTGCATTTGCAAAATCAGGCATCTTAGGAAGAATGTGGAGATGTTTATACTTTTTCTTTTCTAAAAAACAGCATATTTATAGTTCTTACTATGGCAACATAGAACAAGACTGTATATATTCAGTCTGTTCTGGCCCCAGGAATTTCCTAAGCAAGTATAGCTAGAGAGCAAAAACTTTTTGCATTTCCAGAAGGCCATCAAGCAAATATGAGTGAATGGTACAAAACAGAAAGCAAAAGGAGGAGAGCTACGAGAATGGCCTATGGAAACAAAAGCCACTGGCTTTTCAAACTAGCCCATGAGCCCATCTAAGCACCTCTACACAAGAATGCGCACCATTTGTATCCTCAAGAGCTTGGATCATGTCTGGGTCAAGGGCAGTGCTGACCAGCATTTCCACGTAACTGCGGTACATCTCCTTCATGGCTCGTGTATTGAGAATGCGGCCTGTGGGCACACGTTCTAAATGGGAAATGGAGCATTATTTTATTACGGAAGACGGCTGTAGCTCTACCTTTCAAAAGGGTTCAAAACAGGTTAACAAACAAACGAATGCAAAACACAGTAAGATTATATAAGTGTTTCTCAACCATGGCAACTTTAAGATGTGTGGACTTCAACTCCCAGAATTCTGGAAGTTGAAGTCCACGTCTTAAAGTTGCCAAGGTTGAGAAATGCTGGGTTATACATACAACCAAAAATTAGAGGGAGAGAGGGAGAGGGAGAGACCAGTCTCGCTCCCTCCTTGACTCATCTGGAGGTTCTTCTGATCCTACACTTAAACAACCCCTCTATAGACAGGGCTCCTTCTTTCTATTCCCTATTGTCAGCCTTCCACAATTTCTCTGTCTAACTGGTTAATGATAAAATCCTTTCCTAAGGCTTTTCAGAGAACCCGTGGCCTTTCACAAACGGCCGGATCACAATTCCCTGGACTCTTTTCTTCTCGTGGGCTGGAACTGCTGGGAGTTCTAATTCAGGTCACGTGGAGAGGTCCAGATTCCTCACCCTTGTAAATTCCTAGTTTCTCCTTGATCTAGTTCACACACATGGCAGTGAGCCACAGTATGCTTAACCATGATCTGTTCAATAAATCCCAATGGCTGGGATTTATTGAACATATCATGTTCAATAAATCTGTTTAGTGAACATGATAAACAGACCCAACTACCAACAAGCAAATAACTGTAAAGTGGTTTCTCAACCTTGACAACTTTAAGATGGGTGGACTTCAACTCTCAGAAGTTCAAGTCCACACATCTTCAAGTTGCCAAGGTTGAGCAACTCTGGTGTAATGTATGATGCCTGCCCTTGGATCAGTGCCACATTTCTTCTCTTCCCAAGACTACAGAGGTTCTTGGCATCATTTCTAAACTTCTTGGTTCTGGTGCCCACCAACCTGGGTGGAGGTTCTTCCCCCCGCTACTCACCCTCCTCACTCTGCTGGTCAGGGCTGGAATCTGAGTCCGAAGAAGATGCTGCTTCTTTGAGCCATTTTTTCCTCTTCTTGGGGGGCGGCTCAGCTTTTACCTTGGCCGGCTTCGGCTTGGGTTTAGAAGCTCCACCGCCTGGGGCAGTTTTTGTGAGCACAGGCATAGGAGGATCCGCCTTTTCCACTCTGGGGGGCTTCTCTGCCTTGGCTGGTTTCTCTGCCTTGGGGGGCTTTTCAGACTTCTCCACCTTGGGGGCCTTTTCTGGCTTGGGTCCTTTCTCAGCTTTGGGAGGCTTCTCTGCTTTGTCCATTTTTTCAGCCTTGGGGAGCTTCTCGGTCTTAATAGGCCTGTCAGGTTTCTCAGCTCTCTCTGGGACTTCCAGCTTCTCAGGTTTCTCAACCTTGGGCGCCACGGGAACCTTGGGGGTAGACGCCTTGGGCTGGCTTTGCCTCCTGTGCCAGAAAAACAGAGCACTGAGAGCCAAAACCACGTGCCTTGGGCCATGAAAGGAGGGAGCCTACTTGAGAGGCCAGGTTTACTGTGGCAGGAGAGTTTGAGTGCAAAGAAAGCCGTAATGGAAAAGTCAGTGAAAACAGGGAGGCCCTGGGAATTCTTACAGCCTAACAGCTAGCAAGCACTACAACATTTCAAGCAGACTGTGATCTAATTCACCATTCAAGATGAATCTGAGGCGGTGACGGGCGACCCAAGGGAAAGGATGCCCAGGAAAGCACGAGCCGGTGAGGGAAGTAAAGATGCCCAGCCCAGCCGCCCCCCTTGACCTTAGGAGCTGTGACACGATTAAGCAGAACAGGAAAAAGATGCTGAGCTCGGTGCCCCCTTAGCTGGAAGAGGGAAAAGGCAGTGACAGGAGCCCATCGCCCTCATGCATGAGGCGACATAAGCAAGGATGGAACATCGGAAGGCAAAGAGTGGCTGCTAAGGGGACTTTTCAAAAATGAGAAAAAGTTTCTCGTGCAGAAGTCATCTAGACAATTTTAATTCAGCCTGAACTGGAGGGATAGGGAGATGAAAGAAATACATGTGCGTCCCAAGGCAGTGCTGGAGAAACGGGCAATTTAAAAACAGCTACCCTGGAATGAAATCTGTGTAAGTTAAGCAATTACCCAGAGGTATTACTGTTCCTCAGCGGGAACTGGCCTCTCTTACACCTTCCTGATCCTTTACCTGACGGCTTGCAGAGGCCGGTGCCAAGGTTTCTTGGAACAGACACGGACGTAATCTTTCTTGTTGATATTCTCCAAGAATTTAACATAGAGTCGTTGGTACCGGTTCTTGGCATCACCAAAATAGCCCAGATACTGAGGGGTGAAGCAGGAAAAGAAAGAATTGAATACAGAAAGAAAAGAGAGAGGGAGACCATCCCACTTATAACTGCTCTTCTTCCAGAAGTAATGAGGGAACAAGTGGAACTGAAATTGCAATCCTTTGCCCAACACAATAATATATCAAGCTAATTGCTCAACTGGACTATCCCAAGCGCAAAAGTGGGGGTGGTGGTGGTCAGGGACCATTCTTTTATCAACAGACCAACAAAAGAAAAGAAGTATTCCTGTACTTGGCTTGACCCTACGCTACCATCACGGTAGAAGCATACCCAGGGGGAGGGGAGTGAAAGGAGGAATGGGAACAGGAGGAATGGGATACTTGGATTTAATTTACTGATTTCATATCTATCATGTTGGTGAGATCCCTCATCTCTGAAGCTCTTGCTTCCCTGAGAGTATGATACTACTTAAGTAGATGGGGTGGACACTCACATTGCTGGTTGCACAGAACTGACGCTGCCCATCCTTGATTTCAGGTGTAAACTTCTGAAGCAAAGCTTTCTGTACTCGCCAGATTGGAGGTGGTTCCCGCCCAGTCTGAAGTGCAAGCTAGAGAAGGACAAAAAATTAGTTACAGCAATGCCAAGTACTGGACAGCTAATAAGCTCAACTACTATCCTCTAACCAAGATTGTAGCAGAAGAGAACTGCATGAAATGACAAAAGAGCTCCCAGATATACTACATTTCTCCACAATTTGTCCTTCTGGATGAGGCTATTAGTGATGAGCTAATCTGATTCTTCAAATACCCATAAGTATTTGTAGGGAAGATATAATAGCTTGCCAACAACCCACCTAATACAATTTTAAAAGGGAAGTAATATTTTGGGGAAATAAATGGACTATTTATTTATACTTCACCTGTGGTTATTTTTTTCATCCTGATCTCAATGGGAACTGAGTGCAATTAAATTCAGTTTGGACTCCAAAGCATATAATTTACAACTGCCCCATTATAATTACACAATTCTCCCTCCCTTGAATATTTTCTGCAGTTTCCTTTAAAGTTTAGCATGTCAAAGTTTAACTTTGAGAAATTCTCAACACTAAACTTAGTGCTTGAGAACACGAAGAGTTTCCACTTTGAAAAAAACTCAACTAGTGTGCTCCAGGTATTCTGAATTACAATTCTCACAATCCTTTGCACTGGCTGCAGCTAGCAACAGAGGAAGTCAAAAGCACACACAGGGCATCAAGTCACCTAGTTCTGCTCCCAAAGCATTTGAACAATACCTTTCAATTTTAGTATTTAAAGTGTGTCTTTAATGTACACACCCATTCAATGCTCAAGACTCATTACATACCTTGAGAGCCTGAACATCCTCAACACGTATGACAAACTCATCCCGCTCTCGGAAGATCCCCTCCCCACCACTCTCCACCTCCTCTTCATCTGTCTCTCCACAAATGGCTGCAGTCTCCTGCTTCTTAGCAAGGTGAAGAGGCCGTGTGTCCTCAGGGTCTTCAGGCTCAGGAGATGCCTGGGGTGGTGGCTCTTCGAGCACTGGGGGAGGCTCCTTGAGTGAGGGAGCTGGGGAGATGGGTGGGGGTGGCTGCTCCTGCTGGGCATCTGCCTCCACTGAAGGAGCAGGGCTGGGGACCTTCACCTCCACTGGTGGCACATCTGCAGGAGAAAAAAAAGTAGAGAATGAGAGGAAATTCATTCTTTGGATCTGGAACCCTTTTGGATTTAAGGATGTATCCTTCTGATGATCAATACTCCTATTTACCAATACATACTGCAGAGGGCAACCATACGCTGCTTTATAATGAAGGAACCAAATTCTTAAACATATCACATATTTACATTAGTACACCTTCAACTTTTCAGGCATTCACGCCTGCATTTAATTTGTTTAATTTTTAGTTTGTTCAGTTATTTAGATTTTAACTTATCTTTAATAGAGTTAAGGTTAAGACTGCAACCTTGCATGATATATTTAATTCTGATTTTTCAAAAGATGCAAGGAAATCAACAGCAACAACTGAATACACAAAAGACAGAGTGTGCTGACAGGTGCAATTAAATACAGGGGGCTCTCACATGTAACAGTAAGCTAGGAGTCCTCGCCTAATAAATCATAAACGTAAACAAACTGCAAATTAGTTCACTCGGTTTATTTGCTCCAGTTCTGTTCCTCACTTTAAGCTAGTGGATAAACAAATTATACAGATGACACTTTTATGTGACATGTACCTTGGATAAATTCAAATAAGCCATAATTTAGAAACCAACAGCAAACTCTACTGCAAAATGAGCTTATGAATCTCAGCTTATTTGGGAGGATTTAACCATAACCTCGGGTTGACCTTCATGCAAATGAGTCCTGCTCGTATTTACTTGTTTGTTTGTGTAATGAGAGGACTGAACAGGAGTGAACAAGTTGAATGCATTAGCGTGCCATCCAGTTCAGATTTGTTAAATTAGAAATCCAAGTTGATCATTAAGTTCATCTACTATATGCGTGCGTGCATGTGTGTGTGTATTTGGTATGAATAATCACTTGAAAACCAGATCATTATACCATGAGAGTTACTAAAACATAGTAGTTCTCATGGTATAATGACGTGGTTTTCAGTGAATCATATTATATTCTCTATGCTATTGATTTACTGAGAAAAACAGTGTTTTTAAACATATTTTCCACAAGTAAAAATGTAATGAAAAGATTTCCAAAAAGTGTGAACTAGCCGTGAGTAAGCAAGCATATTTCTCTGAATACAGAAAAGAGTACAGCTTTTGGTAACTTTATATCAGGACTACAGAGCGTTTCAATAAGTCAAGGGCTGCACTCAACCCGAGTGACATAGAGGGGATTACACAACAAAAAGTGAGTATGCCTAAGACAGTGTTTCTCAACCTTGGCAACTTTAAGATGAGTGGACTTCAGCTCCCAGAATTCCCCAG